CCCCTTAATGTAAAATACAATGTGAACATTTTCAAAACAACAGCTCGTACTTATGTAAAGCTTTTGACAGAGTGAGGAGCAATGTCACAATGTGCCAACAGCCAGCACTAGAAGCTATTCCTCTGGGCAGCACTGTAACACGCGCACAGGTGTGTAATGTTGTACTGACGTGTGCCTCTTTTTAAAGGTGCCGTCTTCACTGGTAAACAATACCCCAAGATTAGTATAAAGAGATACGAAGAGGAGAGAAAAAAGTGGAAAACTTTTAACTACACATTTCGCTTATTCTTCGTGCTGGTGTCAGGCAAGGAGCAGACCTGCCCCTGAGAGCTTGTGATGTGCATTCAGGTTGTAGGGAGTCTCTGAGGACCGGGGGAAGAGTTCAGAGCTCTTGTCGCAAGATGTTCTCCTGTGATTAATTGACACGTCTCATTGGCAGCAATGCTGCAGATTTATTTACCGAAACCCCAAAACAGACGCCTCTCCAGCCTGATGTCAGTGGGTATAAAGAGTAAGACACGGACGTGGATTCAGTAATTGGCTAAAGGAAGTCCTAAAGAGAGTGAGGCCAAATGGGAGCCATTGAGTAGGCAATTCCAGTGTCCTGACTGACTCTTTTGCACACATGACTGAGCCACTCACACACTCAGTGAGAGGTTACACCGAGCAAAGAGGAACTGAATCGGAGGAATCAATCAAGATTTTAGGGAGTGATTGCAAGATCAATTCAGATGAAGAAGGTCCTCTGGCTCATATGATCTCATCTCTCCAGAACACCCACCCTACCGTCCTCCGATTACAGCATCAAGCTGTCTTTTTAAATGAGTCCCAGGCTTCCTGACTAAACAACAACAACAACAAACAACAACAAATTACATTTACACAGCGTCCTCACACAGGGAGGGCATCCCAAGGCGCTGGACAGTCAGGGATTTGGACCTGAGCAGGGGATTGGGATCAGAGAGGGTGGAAGGCAGTGAGGGTAAGGGTAGGAGTGTGGCTTAACACGCAGTCGATGAAGACAAGCTTTGAAGGAGGCAAGGCAGGAAACAAGGCGAAGGGACTGTGGGACGGAGTTCCAAAGGCTGGGGGCAGAGAGGATGAAGTCCGACCGCCTATGGTGGTTAGCACCCTTCCTGGTATCCTGTTCCAGACCTTAACCCGCTCTGGGTAAAAAAAACATCCTGGTGGCTGTGCTGAGATTGGCCTCTGCAACTCTGGGTGCCTCATGTACTGTTCTGATAACTAAAGTACGCACCTGGGAAATGAAGTATGAAATCAAAATTAAATACGGTTAATTATAGGAATTAAAACAGGAGGCACAGGCACCCTATAGGATTGAACTCACTGAAGTGACATTCGGAACGGCAGGTGAGTAGTTTGGTAATGAAAGGGAAATCACATGAAAACAGGAAGTGAATTTCTGCATCGTGTGGAGTCGGTGATAGTAATAATAATAATCCTTGCATTTGAAATAGTCTTCTCGACATCTCAAAGCGCTTCACAGAATAGACTATAAAGCGAATTGTCTGTATATTTGTGGGTGAAACCTGGCAGTCAATTATACACAGCAGTACCCCACAAACAGTCGTGGATTGAGTGACCAATTTATTATTGGGTTATTCGGTTTATTATTGAAAAGCGATCCACCAATTGACTAACAACCGGATGAATTAGTTGATGGAATGAATTGAATTTAGTCTGTCAGAAACAGTTGATTGACTGAATGACAATGCCATTCAGTCAATCAACTGTTTTGATCATTCTTTCAATCATTCACTCTGTGCTCTCTTCACCCCCCACCCCGCTGATGACAAACCCTCTGTACTGGGAGCTTGTGGCAGTGAAGGTTAATGGGTACTGAGCACTAACACTTCATCTCAGTGCAATGCAGCCCTGCCCTGCACCCACATCCTGCTTCCTTACAGTGAATATTCTCTCTTCAATTCACCTGGAAATGGAAATATGCACAGTCGGGAGGAGTGAGCGTGCGTGCTGTTTGGGTCCAGAGCTCCAGTCACAGGATGTTTACCTGGTTTTAAGGCAGATGCTAATGCAGCCTGGGATCTCGAGGGATCTCAGCCTCGAATTAACAGCAGCACTTGGCCCCAAGGTCATTCCTCAACATCAGAGACAACACGAGTAAATGGAATTAGGTTAGAAGATCAGTCATGATCTTATTAAATGGTGGGGTAGGCTTGAGGGGCCAAATGGCCTACTCCTGCTCTTATGTTTTATGGTCTTATCGTCTAACACTGAAAGGAAGAGCAGCCCCATTGCAAGGCTCTCTCCTCGGGCAAAGGGTTAGGGTTAAAACAGGAGGCACAGGCACCCTATAGGATTGAACTCACTGAAGTGACATTCGGAATGGCAGGTGAGTAATTTGGTAATGAAAGGGAAATCACATGAAAATAGGAAGTGAATTTCTGCATCGTGTGGAGTCGGTGATAGTAATAATAATAATCCTTGCATTTGATATAGTCTTCTCGACATCTCAAAGCGCTTCACAGAATAGACTATAATGTGAGTTGTCTGTATATTTGTGGGTGAAACCTGGCAGTCAATTATACAAAGCAGTGCCCCACTTGGGCACAGGGTCTCTCCTCTGAACCTGGCCAAGATGAGTTCAAAATAATGGCAGATGACAGAGTTGCGACATGCTCGCAGAGAGAGAGAGATCGATGATTGAAGACCAGCAATTGTTGGGGTTCTGTCCACTCTCAATCCTGGAGTCCTGTAGCTCAGTGGTTAGAGCACACGCCTTGCAAGCGAGACACTTGGGTTCAATTCCAGGCAAAGGGTGAAACCTTGGGCAAGTTTCCTTACTCCACATGACTAATAATAACCCCTCCAAAACAAAACAATAATAAATTGGTCATTTTCAATCCACGACTGCTTGTGGGACGCTGCTGTGCGCAATTGGCTGCCGTGTTCGCCCACAAATATACAGTCAATTCACTTTACAGTCTATCCTGTGAAGCGCTTTGGGACGTCGAGAAGATGTGAAAAGCGTTATATCAAATGCAAGGATTATTATTTATTATTATAAATCCAACCTGACAGAGTTTCAGTGTGAGTGAGTGAGCAGCAGCCCTGCAGGGGATTGGGATTAGAGAGGGTGGAGGGCTGGGTGGGGTGGGAGGGTGTCTTAAGGCGTGGTTGAGGAGCTTTGAAGGAGGCAAGCCAGGGAGCGAGGCGAAGGGACTGTGAGAAAGAGTTCCAAATGATGGCGGCAGAGAAGCTGAAGCCATCTGTCCTCTGCCCTTTCCTCTCCTTGCTTTCCCAGCTGATGTTGTGCAGGGTTGGAGGCTGCTGACACCGCAAAGCCGTGACCCAGCAGCAGGAACTCTACAGTGACGAGGAATGAATGGGGGAGAAAATGGACCGCAATAGGAGCAGTTAGTGTGACTGATCAGCCACTTATACCAGGACCTGGTACTGATCTGATCAACTTCACCCTGAAACTAACATGAAATGTAACACTTGCTCCTCGCAGCGACACGCAGGTGCGGGGGCTTAACACAACTATCTGCATTTATATATCGTCCTTCATATACAGCCAGAGCTGCGTACAGTGGGTGGGTGGTGGGGGGGCCAGTGTTACACTGGAGTGTCAGCTTGGACAATGTGATTCCAAGTCCCAATGTGGGGCTTCAACCCACAACCTCTGACTCAGAAGCTGTTACCAGCTGAGCCAGGCTGACATTGTCAGAGAATGATACAGTATCACAATACAATTTACAATATACACAGCGTCTTTCACATCAGGAGGGCATCCCAAAGTGCTTGATAACACTGGCTGGGCAGCAAAACTGGCATGGGAGTTGATGGGGGTGGTAAAAGATGACCGAAGGTGTAGTCAAAGAGGTAGGTTTTGAGCTGAACCTTGAGCGGGAGAGAGAGTGAGTGCTGTGTGGTAATAGGCGAGGAGAAAGCCCATTGCAGCGCATCACAGCACATGGTAGCACACTGCAATTGCTGATCATTCAAGACATTAATGAGTCAACATGCGAAGACAGTACAGCAGTAATTACATTTTAAATCATTCCTGAGGCAAGATTTGCAGGAGCTCATTTCAACTGATAATTCAGAACATTTCAAAGAAAATAACTAAACCAACAGCAGGAGTTCTGTCATCTTTATTGAACCAGCCTATACTCCCTCTGTGATTGTGGGCCATTCAGTAGAGCTAGTTACTCTGGGCTCAAAGGTCTCACTGTTGAAAACATGTAACCGAACACAGCTGTGGCTATCATAGGGATTAATGGTTGTTGTGGTAACGGCTCACAGATACATGGAAAGGCTGCCAAGCCTGAAATGTATTTCAGAATTATTGAAAACAATCCATCAGTGAAGGACACTCAAGCTTTGGTGCCCAAACTGGCCCATTATTGCTGCTCAAACACACTGAAAATGTCCCTTTATTGAATGTCTTACTGTTTGTATGTATTCATTATGTATTCAACGTGCATCAATGATGTGTCTGCCTGTTGATAGACCAAACAAGCCCGGCTCCAGGTGGATTGGGGGCAGAAGTGCCCTTGTGCCTTGTGTTGTGACATAGTCTCAGACCTGAATAGTGACAGGGTTTCAGCACTCTGGGACACTAACCTGCATGAAGCACCTGTATCAATGCAAGTTGTTGCTGAAACAACAGGCAGCAAATATATGGTTGAAAAATCTTTAACATATTCTCTTCAATTTTTATTCTTTTGTTTCAAATTTTTACAAATCTCTTCTCTAAAACCTTTCACCTTCTCTAGATTTGCCTCATTTATTTTCCAGTTAAAGGCTTGCTGATATACACCCATTTCCAATTCCAGCACAGTCACAGAAGAGACCATGGCTGAATGACCCGAAGAGACTCTAAACCGAGGTCCATTCCATTCCAACAATCTATCTCTGGGATTTCCAGGTGTAGTTGGAATGCCTGGAGTTCTCAGTTTGGTTTGGATGCTCTTAAGCATGGTGATGGGTTTTCGCATGTGTCAGACACCTAGCTACCCTCAATCCGGTTCTCTCAGCCTTTGCCCGACATAGTTGATCAGCTTTTATCCCTTTGCCTGTTGTACACTATCAACGACAGGCTGGTGTGGGTTTTATCTGGTGCTGGCGGAAATGGAAATGACAAAGATTGTGTCAGTGACAGGGACCTGCCTCACGCCAGCAGTACCTGAGCCCTACCCTTTCCACAGACACAGCACCAATCAGAAACAGCAGAGTAATTGGTTGGAGCAGCAGGTGAGAACTTCCTTCAGCTCTGCACAATTTGTTCTATTTGCTTAACACCAGAGAGAGAGTGGACTGCATGAGCAATAGCCACCAGTGCAACCCTGAGCTTTGCCAACACTGATAGAGATCCTCCACTGCCTTGGCCTCTCCACCTGCCATCCAAGGAGCGTTCAGGGTAGGTTTGTGCAATTCTTCATTTTGTTCCTTACTTCTCTGTGTGTTTTCTGCCTTTACTTGAAGGAACGTATTCCTGGCAGAGCCCGTACTTTGTAAAGATGGGCAGCTGACCCTTCAGCAAGTTTTCACAGTCAAGGATTATGCGATGGGCAGAGAGTCACTCAGAGCAACTTCACTGTGGATTTAACGTGCTGTTACAATTTCCTTTTGGGTTGGGGTTTTGGGGGCTAATGGTCAGATTTGTGTTCGGAGAGGACAATCTCTGCCCTGGGAAAGATCTTGTATAATAGACATTGAGACGCTTCCCCAGAAATACCCTCGTTTGTTTTTGCGAGTAAGTTTAATGAGCGACAAGTTAAAAACTATTGTTGCTGAGCAGATCCGCCTGGAACTGGCTCTGATATAAACGTGCAGGGGGATCAATTAGACTTAAGCAGCGTTCAACACAATACCATTGCTGAGCAAATCACTGCAGTTACAAAGAGGAGGTTGATAGTATTATTCCCGTTGGTACTTGTAACCCTTTGATTGCTGTTTATTGCTGAATTATTATTCTCGAGTGTTAAAATCTCATCAACAATTGAAAGCAGTTCATCTTTGTCGGGATACTTTGCTTTTGGCTGTTTGGGGAATTTCTGTGCAGTTTGTATTGCTCAGGGCAGATGTTGGCTGCTGGGTTGATGTATAAAACTGAGTTACCTCTCAAGTAAAGTGTGGTGACCTTAAAGCCTTTGTTCTGGTTTACTTCTGAATTGCTTTCCTCGTCCACACAATAATTAAACACTGACACCTACTCGGCAGCACCTTCACAGGATTTTACTGGAAAGTGTAGGACTGTCTAATTGGTAGGTTAACCCGGCAGACATTTTTGCTCACAGCAACGTCCCAAAAACAGCCATAAACTGAATGATCAATTTTATTTAGAGGATTGTTGACCAAGAAACTGGGAGAAACTCCCGTCTGTTTTTCAGTTGTGCCCTGGGATCTCTAACGTTCATCTGAACAGGCACAGATGGGAACTTGGTTTAATGTCTCATCCTAAGGTTAGCATCTCTGACAATAGAGTACTCTCCCCACCACTGCCCTGGAGTCTCGGCTTAGACCATAGGCACCAAACTTGGTCAAGTTTTCAGCCTAACTGCTCCCACTCACTGGAACTCCATCCTGGAGTCCCTTCGACTCACCTCTTCCCTCCTCTCTCAAGATCCACCTCAAGACTTCCTGGTTGATTGTGCCTTCGATCATCTTTCCCCTTCTCCGCCCCCTACACACACACCCTGAAATCCCCGGCTCCAGCTCAGGTACCCGGCCAGGAATGTCAAACACAAAGGGTTTTCCTCCCAATGTAAAAAGTGCTGAATGAATGCAATTTGTGGTTGGATTGTTTTAGATTATAAACTTGTCAAACACAGTCAGCTTTGTTGGATCTGCAGACGGCTTCTCAATGTTTTGTGTCGTGGCTGTTGTAACCAGGCGCTCCTTTAGTTAATGTTAATATTGTTAGTTCTGCTTCTCGGTGGACTCAGTGTTAGCCCATGAGCGCATTTTGTTTTAAAGTGAAGCCAGGACAGACCTGCAGCAAGCCTGCCATTCAGCTGTGACTGTCAAACCATCCAAATCCTCCCCTGACCTGTTCAGTCCTGTCTCAAATTTAAAGCTGAAATTAGGCTCCCAAGCTGAGACCAGGTGGAATTTCAGGGCTCAGTGTTTTTTTGTGATGAACGACAGGAATCAATCATCAGAAAGGAGAGAGAGAGATAATATGCCACTGACTGATCTGTGGCTGTGGCTTAGTTCACAATCGTTCGCTATTGGATTTCCTGCCTTTTCGGAGCTCACGTTCCCCAGATTTGCCATTTGTGTTGCGTTTCCCCCCAGATACAGTGAGGAAAAGACAACTGGGGCTGTGGAAAGCGTTGCCATAGTAACCAAGCCCCCCCCCCCCCCCACCCTCCCTCCCCCACTCCCCGGCCCCCCCACCCCCCTCCCCAAGCATGACGCTGCTGTATTTTCTAGGCCAGGGAGCAGGCCACGCACAGTGGGTAATTCTGCAGGGAATTTCAGAGACACAAACACAGTGAGATGTTCCATGTGGGTCTAAACATGCAACAAGTAAACAACCCTCATGTTTGTTCAGGGGCTGATATGTTGAAGGGGAAGTAATGACTGTCTCTGCTTGTGGACAGAGTCGCTATTCAGTGGCAAATCCGCTCTCTCTCCTTCCTCTTTCTGATGATTGATTCCGTCAGTTCTGGCAAAAGTTCATAAGCTTGAAACGTTAACTCATTTCCTCTCTCCATGGATGCTGCCTGACCTGCTGGGTGTTCCCAGCGGCTTCTGTATTTATACGTCTCAGCAAATGTTTTATCCTGCCCCCTGCCCATTACCCCAAGGCTCCATCCTTGGCCCCCTTTTTCTTATCTATATGCTCCCTCTTGGTGATGTCATCTGCAGACATGGGGTCAACTTTCACATGTATGTGGATGACATAAAAAGTCTACTTCTCTTCCTCCACCCACTTGATGTCTTGTCATGTTGTTTGATGGACATCAAGGCCTGGATTGAGCGCAAATTTCCTGCAGCAGAATATCGGCATGATGGAAGCCATACTCTGGCTCCCATCAATGCCTGTGGGTCTGAACTCCTCAACCTCCCAGGTTCTCCCTCAGATTTTCCGAACCTGTGTGCAACTTAGGCATCAGGTTTGATCCCCAGCTTTCCTTCTCCCCCACATCATTCCCTGATCAGTAACACTTTTTTCCACCTGCTCACATTGCCCGTCTCCATCCACACCTCACAACAAAAGCAGCCGAAACCCTCGTCCACACGTTTGTCACTTCCCGGCTGAACTATTCCAGTGCCCTCCTCGCTGGTCTTCCTAGCTCCACCGTACACAAAATCCAATTAATTCAAAACTCCGCTGCCTGGATTCTCACCCAACAAAACTCTGTAACCCCATCACCCCAATCCTTGCCAGGCTCCACTGGCTCCCAATCACCAAACAGATCAATATCAAGATCCTCTCACTCGTTTTTAAATCCCTCATGCGCTCACACCTCCCTACCTATCTGATATGCTCACCCCCGCCCCCCCCCCCCCCACTCCACCATCCGCTGCCTCCGCTCGGCTGGCTCCAGCCTCCAGTTTGTCCCTCATTCCCTCCGCTCCATCATCAGTGGCCGTGCCTTCAGCCACTATGCCCCGAAACTCTGGAACTCTCTCCATCCGTCCCTCCGCCTTGCCCCCTCCCTCCCCGGCTTCGAATTCCTAAAGTGCTTCTTTTTTGATCGTGCTTACGGTCCCCTCCCTCTCCCCCTGGCTCGAGGCCAGACTTCACCACTGTCAAGCGCTCCGGGACAGTATCCCGTGTGAAAGGCGCTATGTAAATGCAAGTTGTTGTTGTGATCTGCACTTACACATGCATCTCCAGTCAATAATAACATCTACATTTGATATAGCGCCTTTTACAATGGCAGGACGTCTCAAAGTGCTTCACAGGATTTATTCTAAAGTGAAGTGTTTGTGTGTTTTGTGGGCAAACACAACAGCCAATTTGCACCCAGTGCCGTCCCGCTAACAGCCATGAAGTGAGTTACTGATTTTATTTGGGGGATGGTTGGCCAGGACACTGGGAGAAAAACTTTTCCAACGACACCACGGGATGTTTAACGTCCACCTGAACAGACACAGCGGAGGCCTCGTTTAATGTCTTGTCCTCTCCCTCGTCATCACCATCTCTCAGTCTAGATCAGGTGACAGCGCATTTAAGTCAGCTTTTGAGTAGTTACCCGATGGCGATCCCAGTGGCTAAAAGTATGAATTAAACGTTGTCACTAACAACAGTGAGTCACTGTCTGCACAAAGCTGGAGCAGGTCCACAACCTGAACTCTCCAGTGTTACCTCCCAGGTCAAGGTCACTTCACTTTACAAGGAATCCTGTGAAATGCTTCAAGATGTGATAAGGCACTGAGTTAAATGCAAGGATTATAATATTATTGTTATTATTACCCGATTCATCCTTATGTGTAAGCCGTGGAGATGAAGACTTGAAAATAAAGAGCAAAAATCAGAACTTGGGTTTGATTCAGATCACATTCACAGTGATGGTCCCCTGCCAGCAGGCGTCACTGCAGCACCCAGTAATGTGTGACACTCAGGAACATTGGTCCCTAAAGGAGACTGGGTTCCTGTCGAGGCAAATTCACTCTACGTCAACCGATGCCTTGAACAGGGAGCTGGACTGACTGAGAAATGGGATTGCGGGTATAGGGGAGTAACAGCTCTGCTTGATTTCCGTGGGAGGGGGTGTTGGAGTTTTGAATGGGGGAGGAAAACAGGGGAGGAACATGGAGTAACCATGTGCGAGGTATGGAGACCCCAGGTTTGATAAACCTTTGAAGGTTTCAGGTTTCCAAAATCTTGTGCACAAACTCCGAAGCGCCCTGAAAATCCTAAATACTTCCCAGAGCAACAATATCAACACAAAAATAATAATCATCCCTGCATTTGATGTAGCGCATTATCATGTAAACAAGACATGTCAGACCACTTCACAGGATATACACTAAAGAGATGTGACTATGTACTTGTGAGCGAAGGAGGCAATTTGACACAGCATTGCCCCACAATCAGCCATGGAGCCAATCCAATACAACATCAGCCTATCAGGCGGTGACTGGCTGAAACATACAGCTGTTTGGCCGAGAAGTCCTCCATTGCCTTCCTCCTCCCTATCTCTGTGACCTGCTAACTCCATTCTGGCCTGTCTGCTCCCTCCACTCGGTGGGCTCCCCAATCCCTCCAGCCCCAACATCGGCAGTCAGGCAATCAGCTTTCTGCCCCCATCCTTTGGAACTCCATCCCATAATCCCTTTGCCTCGCCCCTCCCTCCCTTGCTTCCTTCAAGGCCTATTTCAAGACCTTTCTCTTCGACTGCACCTTCTGTCATTCTCTAACCCTCCTTGCCCTCCACCCTCCCTGATCCCAACCCCCAGATCGGGTACAAATCCTTGCCTGTTCAGCACCGTGGGATGTCTTCCCAATGTGAAAGGCACCGTGTAAATGTTATTTGTTGTTGTTGATGAGGCCGGAATCCCACTTTCTCCTTAAAAGCTGAGCATTGGGGCCGCGGGACGGGGGTGACAGTGGGGGGCACTGGGGGACAGAGAGAGGGCCGCAGGGGAAGTAAATATTGAACAAAACTCAGATAGACAAAAATGACCTACAAAAATATACAGTCAATTTTTTAAGGCAAATCCCATGAAATGCTTTGAGAAGTCTGATTTGAGGGGCGCTATATCAAATGCAAGACTGATTATTGTTATTTTTTATTTGATGTTTCTGTAATTAATGGTTACTGACTGGGCACTCGGCAAAGGTCAGGGGTGAATTGCAGTTCCACTCACTGTTGTTCAAACTATTTCAGATCCACTCGGTGACCTGTGCCCCACAGTGAAGAATGGTGATCAGAAGAAATCACATCCAAATGTTAACAGGTATTTGCTATTTAACAATTATTTGCTATTTGTTATTTCTGTCTTCAAAAACGCTGTGAAATACATTGGCAAGATTTACTCTGCAGATGGTAATGACAGAAAGACAATTTGTCACAAATAGCGAGGAAGCAATAACGATATATTCTATTAATTTCACCAGATTCCACGCCTCCTCTGTCACTGGGGTGCAAGCGTGGAGGGAGGAGAATATAAGAACATAAGAATTAGGAGCAGGAGTAGGCCATTTGGCCCTTCGTGCCTGCTCCGCCATTCAATAAGATCATGGCTGATCTTCTCACCTAACTCTGATTATGGTTACCAGCCCTCAACAATGTAAAAATATTAGTTTTTTCTCTCTGCGAGTTAATTACCTCTCCCTCTCCCAGGCCTAAACTGCCTTTTACTCAAAAAACATTCTGGAGACCATCCTCCTCCCCTACGTCCCCTTTCCCTCACCCCATAGATGGTCTACACCAGCCCCTCCTTACTCCATGGCCCCTCCCACTCCCCTCTCCCTACACTCCTTTGCTAAGATTACTCCCCCATCCCTCTCAAACACCTTCTCCCAGATGAAGCCCACCACCTGCTGCCTTGACCTCCCTCCCCACCCAGCTGCTGGTCACCCAAATCCCCTCCTTTCTCCGCTGCTGGGTGACACAGTCACTCTCCTCATGTTCTGTTCCTCTCCCCCTTATAACCGCTGTCATCAGTCCCCTCCTCAAAAAAACACCCTCGACACCCTGGGTAAGCTTCCACATGTATGCGTACGACCCACAAATCTACTTCTCCTCCAGCTCCGACTCCGGGTTCATCGAGGTTCAGTTGGTTTGTCTAATGGACATCAGCGCCTGGTTGAGTGCAAACTGCTTGCAACTAAACATCGACAAAACGTTGGCTTCCGTCAATATTTTCTCTCCTGCGGCTCTGACTTCCTCAACCTCCCTGGGCTTTCCCTCAGACTCACCAAACCAGTGCGTAACCTAGGCATCAGGTTCGACCCCAGTTGTCCTTCCTTCCCCACATCCAGTCCCTGACCAGGACCGCCTTCCTCCACCTCCACCACATTGCCCATCTCTGACCGTTCCTTACCCCAAATGCAGCTGAAACACTCGTCCATATGTTTGTCACCTCCCGACTGGACTTCTCAAATGCCCTCTTTTCTGGTCTCTCCAGCTCCACCGTACACAGCATCCAACTGATCCAAAACTCCGCCACCCGCATACTCACCCGCACTAAACTCCGTACCCCCATCACCCCAGCTGTAGCCAGGCTCCGCTGGCTCCCTATCGCAGAACAGATCGATTTCAAGATACTCTCACTTGTTTTCAAATCTTTCATGCCCTGCACCTCCCTCCCTCTCCGACCTGCTCACCCCACAACCTACTACCCGCTGCCTCAGCTCGACTGGCTCCGGCCTCCTGTATGTCCTTCGTGGCCTCCATTCCACCATTGGTGGCCGCGCTTTCAGTCACTACACCACAAAACTCTGGAACACTCTTCCTCTATCCCTCTGACTTTCCCCTTCCTCCCCCAACTTCAAGTCGCGCCTGAAGACCTTCTTATTCGACCGTGGCTACGGTCACCTCCCCCTCCCCCCAGCTCGGTGTCATGCTCCGCCACTGTCAAGTGCTCTGGGACGCTGCCCACCATGAGGGGCGCGATAAATGCAAGTTATTGTTGTTCTAAGTTTCGTTCCTGGTGGATTATTATTTATTTTGATTATTGAAAGATTTGGGCCAAAGAATGTTGGCAGTAATAGTGTCAGTCAGAGCGATGGAGCACTGACACCGAGGTTTAGTGAAAAGGATAGTGCTGTAATTATTTCACATGTCAAATAGGCTGTGTTTAGCTTGGAGTTTTCACCTCTGCACTCTCCTCCGCAGGTTTTCTGCTGTTTTATTCATTTGCTCTCTCCACAAATGCTATGAGTTACTACAATGATTCCCTGTTCAACGACTCCAGCACAGGTACTGACTTTGCTCAGCCAATCTACAAAACCTTTAGCCTCGGGATGGTCTAATTATTCTCCAGAATGAATTGTTCTAATTGTTCTGGGAGAATGGTCACGTCTTGTTCTGTGGTTTCCTATGCACACACAGGCCACTGAACTATGAACTTTCAATCAATGACTTATTGGCTGCATTGAAGTACGCCATGCGCAGGGCTCCATTCAAAACAAGCGCAGGAAACCCAGTCTTGACCTGTCAGTGAATTCGCACTTACTGACCACAGTGATGAAGTATCACGTGCACAGTGCAATGGTAGTCCATTGAAACAAGTGCAGAAAACGAGGTTTGCAGGGCTGTGGGGGAGTGGGGTTGATGGGGGCTATGGGGAGAGACCGGGGGAGTGGGGTTGATCAGGGCTATGCAGAGAAAGCAGTGGAGTGGGGTTGATTTGGAAGCTCTTTTCAAAGAGCAGCACAGACACGATAATAATAATAATAATAATAATCCTTGCATTTGATATAGCGCTTTTCACGTCGAGAGGACGTCCCAAAGCGCTTCACAGAATAGACTGTAAAGTGAATTGACTGTATATTTGTGGGCGAACGCGGCAGCCAATTGCGCACAGCAATGTCCCACAAACAGTCGTAGATTGAAAATGACCAATTTATTATTGTTTTTTTGTTTTGGAGGGATTATTATTAGGCTCTGTGTGGAGTAAGGAAACTTGCCCAAGGTTTCGCCCTCTGCCTGGAATTGAACTCAGATCTCTCGCTTGCAAAGCGAGAGCTCTAACCACTGAGCTGTACAATTCTATGAATAAGTAATGTGCTTGTCTGTCTGTTTGCCTAATTAACTGACAAACTGTCTATCTACATTTTTTTATTTAGACAGTACAACACTATTCAATATGACTGATTATAATACAACATGGAGTTCAGAAACAAATACAATGGTGACACTGACTGCCTTGCCACCTAATGTAAGTTTCACTCAGATTTATACAGAATATGCAGCACAAAAACAGGTCATTTGGCCCAACCAGTCCATGGCGGTGTTTATACTCTGTGAGTCAAAGTGTAATTCCCAAACCACAAGTGGGAGCTATGTCCCAAGGCTGAAAACCAGGAATGCTACCCATAAGACCACGGGGGAGGTTTCTGACAGTATTCCTTCAACAACAATATTATATTTGTATAACGCCTTTCACATCCCAAGACGCTGGACAATTAGTGTTTCGGACCTGAGCTGGTGGTCAGGATTGGGAAGGGTGGAGGGCGGGGGGGAAGGAGCAAGGTCATGGAGGGCTTTGAAGGTGAGGACCAGGAGGCTAATGTCACGAAGCCCGGTGTGGGAGAGGACACGGGCTGCAGAGTTCTGGATGATCTGCAGCCTATGGAGAGAGGAGTTGGGGGCCGACAAGCAGTGAGATTGCATAGTGAAGCCTGGATGTTATGAAGGTGTGTGTGAGGGTCTCGGGGGCTGCGGTGTGTGACAGTGGCGGAGCCGGGTGATGTTGTGGAGGTGGGGAAGGCAGAGCGGGTCATGGCGCAGAGGTGGGGTAGAAAGGATAGTTGAGGGTCAATCAAGACCCCAAGGTTCCTGCCCGGCTCAGTGAGGGGGAGTGAGCCCCATGGATGGTGATGCTGTCAACGCCTGAGGTGTTGAGGCGTTGACGGGAGCCAATCAGGAGCCTCGGTCTTGTTGACGTTCAACTGAAGAAAGTTCACTCTCATCCAGGACTTGACGTCTGACAGACATTGTGTCAGGACAGCAGTGGGTCCTGGAGTCGAGGGTGGAGGCAGAGAGATAGAGTTGGGTGTCATTCGCGTACATGTGGAAGTTGACCCCATGTCTGTGGATGATGTCACCAAGAGGGACATATAGATATTGAAGAGGAGGGGAACAAGGACAGAGCCCTGAGGAACACCGCACGAGACGGTGCGGGGACTGGAGGGGAAAATGTTTGTGTAGATAAAGTGGAGACGGTGTGAGAGGTACGATCTGAATCAGTCAATGACAGAACAGAACAAAGGGGGGAGTAGGTGGTGGGGGCACGGGGGGAAATATAAACACCTGCCTGTTCCTGTGCCCTCTCTCACTTTATGTCTAAATGTTACTATTTAAACTGGAAATGAAATAAATGATACACGATGTAAGGAGAGGACCTCTCCGCACGTTGTCAGCCTCTATTCTGACACTTTCATAGTTCCGTGTAAAGAGACGACATGGGGGAGGGGAGGAGGTGGTACAGTGAGGTGTTTCTAATGGGATTTCTTATTCCTTGTACACCAATATCAAAACCTCAAAGTCTTGAATTACTGGAGACATTTAATAAAGAGCTTTTCATGTCAATTTTGTTACAGTTTTCCTGCCAGACATTTAACTGTACGGGATCCATGTGTTACGAAGATTATAACAAAACCGGTCAGGAATGCCCTGCTTCCTCCATGTTCTGTCAGGTATGTTGTCTGTTATGCGTGTCGTACGAGAACACGGAATCTGCATAGAAAGCACATATATGACTAGTGCATTACAACACGGCTCAGCAGACAGTGGTCTCCTGTGTGGCCACAGTTACTTACACCTGAAAACGGCTCAATTCCATGGCCCAGTGCAGGAGCTGCCAATCAGCGCTGTGTGTGTGTGTGTGTGTGGAGGGGGAGGTGAGTGCTGTGTGCGTGTGTGGCTGCTGCGTTTCTCCCCAGAATACTCCGTGTATATCCTGTGTAGCGCTTTGCGACATCTCAATGCTGTGATGAGGCACAGTATCATATACACAGATTATTATGGAGTCCTGTAGCTCAGTGGTTAGAGCACTCGCTTTGCAAGCGAGTGACCTGAGTTCAATTCCAGGCAGAGGGCGAAACCTTGGGCAAGTTTCCTTACTCCACACAGAGCCTAATAATAATCCTCCAAAACCAAAAACAATAATAAATTGGTCATTTTCAATCTACGACTGTTTGTGGGACATTGCTGTGCGCAATTGGCTGCCGCGTTCGCCCACAAATATACAGTCAATTCACTTGACATTATATTCTGTGAAGCGCTTTGGGACGTCCTCCCGACGTGAAAAGCGCTATAATCAAATGCAAGGATTATTATTATTATTATAGTATTAATAAAAAGCCGTTAGGCCCCGTCTTCAGTCACGGAGTTTGTGAGCGTGAATTTCTCCAGCGCTGTCTGTCCGTTGACTAACGTTTAGTTTCTGGCACAGCTTTATCGCATCAGTAACTCCTCATACTGGGGGGGCTGCCATCCCAGCTGTGTGGGCACCGAGGGTCTGTGCGGGAACTCGTCACTAGACATGTGTATGATGGAGTGCTGCAACACCACGCTCTGCCTGATGCTGAACGGAGATACGCAGTACATCGAGGGCTTAGCCGGTACTTCACCTCTTTTAAAACAGCCTGACTGTGCCACCACACACACCAACCCCCCCTATCCTAGCCCCCTCACCCCAAAACCCCAGCCCCTCAAACCCCAACCTTCCCCCGATTGACAGATCTCACACCTTACAACAAGATTCCATTTATAGAGCGCCTTTCACGTCGGGAGGATGTCCCAAGGCACTGGACAGTTGGGTCAGGACCCGAGCATTGGGGGGGAAATGGTCAGGGTGAGGGGAGGGAAGGGAGGGAGCGAGGAGTGGGGAAATGGTCAGGGTGAGGGGAGGGAAGAGAGGGAGCGAGGAGGGGGTAGAGAGTTGAGAGGGGAGCTGAAGGCTGAAGGTCAAAGAGAAAGGTCTCGAGACCGACCTTGAAGGAGGAAAGGGAGGAGGCGGCGAAGGCACTGGGGGATGGAGTTCCAGAGCCTAAGGGCTGAGAGGCTGAAGGCCACCGATGGTAGGGCGGTTGGGGCGGGGGATGTGGAGCAGACCGGAGCCGGAGGAACGGAGGGTACGGGCAGGTAGGTAGGGGATAGTAGGTCGGAGAGGTAGGAGGGAGCGAGGCCGTGAATGGCCTTGTAGGTGAGGATGAGGATCTTGAATTCGATCCTCTGGGGGATGGGGAGCCAGTGGAGGTGAGCGAGGGTGAGGGTGAGGGTGAGGGCGAGGGTGGGAGTGATGTGGGCGCGGTGTCTGGTGCGGGACAGTACATGAGCTGCAGAGTTCTGAATGACCTGCAGTGTGGAGGGAGGGCCGGGAAGGCCGACGAGGAGAGAGTTCCCGTAGTCCAGCCTTGAGGTGATACACGATGTAAGGAGCGGTTCGCGTAGTCCAGCCTTGGACCAGAGTTTCAGCAGCGTGAGGGGTGAGGTAGTGCCGTAGTCTGGCGATGTTGGGACCTTAACTATAAACACAGGCCTCTCCCCTCACATGGTTAGAACATTCACCCACATCCAGGGCCTTCAATTCAACTTGAATTCTCTTTATTTAAAAGCTGAAATAATGTTGGGTTACAGTCATTCTCACTTTGCCAAACTCTATCACAGACATAATCTGTAGTGAATGATTCTGATTCACATCTTCTGACCTGTCCAGCGCTTTGGGATATGTAATTTTGTTGTTGTTGTGAGGTCACACAGGTAGGGCGGGGCGAAACCATGTTGGGGGCTGGGGAGGGATGTTAAATGTGAGAACAAGGATTTTGAACTTGATCTGCTGGGGGATGGGGAGCTGAGTGAGCAGCGGTGATGGGCTTGTGGAGCAGGACACCAGAGGACATGAGCTACAGAGTTCAGGATGACCTGAGGCTTGTGGAGGGAGGAGCTGGGAATCTGGCAAGTAGAGCGATGGCGTAATCAAGCCTGGACGTAATGCAAGTGTTGATTAGGGTCTCGTAGCAAATAATAAATTCGGCTTGTGTTTCTTCCCATGCTCCCCCCTGATTGTACCCCCTTCCTCAGTCCATCCTCATTGTTGTGGTTTATTTGTAGAATAAATGCTCATTCAACCAAAACTTTTGTTTTTTTTAGTAAACATTTCAAGTTCCAAACCTCCTATGACTCAGCCCTCAACGCAGCCCTCAACGCAGCCCTCAACGCAACCCTCAACGCAACCCTCAACGCAACCCTCAACGCAGCCCTCAACAACAGCCACAGAACCTGTAACATTTCCTACAAATGTGAGTTTTGAAGCTGAATTATATTTTTATTCATCAAATTCCTACATTCCTGAAATGAGCTCAATCTTGTTTTCCTCTCTTTACGACAGGGTTTAATCTGTGCCACCTTTTCATGCAATGGAGATAATTGTTACAATGGGAGGACTGAAGAGACAGCGAAATGCCCCCTTAGCAGCAATTACTGTGAGGTGAGGCTCAAGAGATAAATATATAACCTCAACAATTTACACTTGAGCACAGTCCCTGCCCGCTCTCTGTAACTCTACCCGCTCTCTGGGGGTTGGGGAGGGGGCCACAGGCGGAATCCATGACCAGTGTTTAGATTGCTCCATTTTATAGAAAACATAATCCGGACACATCACTGTTTTCCATTTTCTTTTTTGGTGTAAAGGATGGGAACTGTTTCTCAGCCACTGGCATGTTGATGTCCGGGTAGGTGGTGGGTGGGGAGGGGTTGATGGATTTTGCCGAATTTAAAGTGCTTAAAAGTGTAGTGACTGTTTTGATGAACAGTTTGGTAATCGCACAGTGATGACTTGCCCATGTAGTTACCTTCTGCTCCATGTGCGAGTCATTGCTGTGTGATTACCAAACTGTTCACCAAAACACAGTCATTACAGTTGCCAGTGAATCAAGTGAAGTGCTTTGAGATGTCGTCCCAACGTGAAAGGTGCCATGTCAGATGTAAGGATGATTATTATTAATAATAACTGCTGTCCCCGTTATTGCCCTGACCTGCGCTCTCTCTCTCTCTCGCTGTAGCTGAGGACGACGGGCAGTGATTGGCTGGCCGGCTGCAGTGACACGTGTCAGGAAGTGGCCGAGGGCTGTTCTGGCAGTTCAGCTCCATGTTATCTTGAGTGTTGTGAAGCCGTCAGCACGAGCTCCTGCCTGAAACTAGATGGAAGCGAAGAGTTAGTGGGCTCGTCTGCGGGGGTGGCCCGGTCCCTGCAGTGGATGGTCTGCACGGTCGCTGTGTTTATTCTGACCAATCAACTCTCACCTTTCCTCACTATGTAGGAGCTGACCTCTGACCTGACGTCAGCCTCCATCACTCTGGCTCTGGTAAATGGTCACTTTCTATTGAGACATCAGCTTGACATTGCACAGACCTCGACACACACCGCCTGAGCAGCATCCTGTAAGTGGTCATGTAACCATCTCCACCCCCATCCCTTATCCTGTGTCGCTTACCCCCCACACTCCTCCCTTCCCCACCCCCTATCCCCTATCCCCTGACCCCTCTACTCCATCCCCTATCCCCTGTCAACATAGTTTTATTATCATTGAACACCAAAATAAAGAGTTGGGTGGGGAGGTGTGGGTGGGGATGTGGGAGGTGTGGGTGCGGAAAGCAAATAGCAGCTGTGAAACCACAGGTCTGAAGTTTCCAGCACCCCTCACCCCCACCCCCTACTCCCTATACCCTTCTCCCCTACCTCTGCCCTCTCACCTGCCCCCGCGCCCCCATTGCTGCAGGGCAGGTTCCAAACTGAGAACTTGTCTCTGGGTTAAAGAGAATGACCGAAAAGAGGGCGAGCAGAATAAAATTGAATAAGAGCAAAATATATACAATATATAAAATATATATATACATATATAATAAAAAACACATCACATTATAGACATTTTATATACGTCACTTCAATTGAATTAAAATATGTAATTTTCCTCCTGCTTTTCTGTGGTGGCAAAAGTTATGCAATGGGATAATTATCACTTCACATATTGCGTTTTCCCCACACCACCTGCACCACCCCCATTGCCAAGTAGCTGTTTACGCAGTGTTTATTCCTGGTCTAAATAGACAGATTGCTTTGAGATGATGTAGAATCATATAATCATAGAATATTACAGCACAGAAGGAACCCATTTGGCCCATCGTGCTGTGCTGGCTCTTTGGAAGAGCAACCCAATCAGTCCCACTCCCCCGCTCCTTCCCCACATCTTTGCAAATGTTTTCCTTTTTAAGTTACTATCCAATTCCCTTTTGAAAGTTGTTATTGAATCGGTTTCCACCACCGTCAGGCAGTGCATTCCAGACCATAACAACTCTCTGTGTAAAAAGATTTCTCCTCAACTCCCCTCTGGTTCTAACTGAAGAAAGAGTCAGCAGTAATCTGGAAATTACTTTTTTTACATTATGAAATGTAAAATACTCGTGGTCTCAGGGTCGGGTCAGTGCGGTAATCATAAAGGTCACTGAAATTTGATCTTTCAAAAATGTAGCAAACCGAGGAACAGGAGGAGGCCATTCAGCCCTTCGAGCCTGTTCTGCCATTCTATTAGATCATGGCTAATCTGTACCTCAAGTCCAATTACCAATCCTTAAACACTCTCTGACTAACTGAGAGCCAGACCGAGTCATTAAGGACTATGTGACAGGAAGTCACTTCGCTTTACTCCCAACAGTCACACGAACAAACCCAGTGTAAGCCGCCCCCACCCCCCCCCACCCCCCAACCCCCCCCACGCCCCCACCCCCCAACCCGCTTTTACATTAAACATTTTTAGCGAAGCTTTCTGTTCTAAAAGTAGTTGCAACAAAAGCAGATTGACATCTGAACCTGCGCTGACTCCGTTACCAGCCCCTTACTGAGCAAACGTGAATGGTACCCAACCCCTCCCACTGTCATCCCCCCCCCCCACCCGCGCACCAGCCCCTCCCACTGTCATCCCCCCCCCCCCCCCCGTGCACCAGCCCCTCCCACTGTCATCCCCCCCCACCCCGTGCACCAGCCCCTCCCACTGTCATCCCCCCCCCCACCCCGCGCACCAGCCCCTCCCACTGTCATCCCCCCCCACCCCGCGCACCAGCCCCTCCCACTGTCATCCCCCCCCACCCCGTGCACCAGCCCCTCCCACTGTCACCCCGCCCCCCCCACCCCGCGCACCAGCCCCTCCCACTGTCATCCCACCCCCCACCCCGCGCACCAGCCCCTCCCACTGTCATCCCCCCCACCCCGTGCACCAGCCCCTCCCACTGTCATCCCCCCCACCCCATGCACCAGCCCCTCCCACTGTCATCCCCCCCCACCCCGCGCACCAGCCCCTCCCACTGTCATCCCACCCCCACCCCGCGCACCAGCCCCTCCCACTGTCATCCCACCCCCCCCCCGCGCACCAGCCCCTCCCACTGTCATTCCCCCACCCCGTGCACCAGCCCCTCCCACTGTCATCCCCCCACCCCGTGCACCAGCCCCTCCCACTGTCATCCCCCCACCCCGCGCACCAGCCCCTCCCACTGTCATCCCCCCCCACCCCGCGCACCAGCCCCTCCCACTGTCATCCCCCCCCCCCCCGTGCACCAGCCCCTCCCACTGTCATCCCCGCCCCCTGTGCACCAGCCCCTCCCACTGTCATCCCCGCCCCTGTGCACCAGCCCCTCCCAGTGTCTAGCCTCACCCCCTGTGCACCAGCCCCTCCCAGTGTCTAGCGCCGCCCCCTGTGCACCAGCCCCTCCCAGTGTCTAGCCCCGCCCCCTGTGCACCAGCCCCTCCCAGTGTCTAGCCCCGCCCCCTGTGCACCAGCCCCTCCCACTGTCATCCCCGCCCCCTGTGCACCAGCCCCTCCCAGTGTCTAGCCCTGCCCCCTGTGCACCAGCCCCTCCCAGTGTCTAGCCCCGCCCCTCCCAGTGTCTAGCCCCGCCCCCTGTGCACCAGCCCCTCCCAGTGTCTAGCCCGGCCCCCTGTGCACCAGCCCTTCCCAGTGTCTAGCCCCGCCCCTGTGCACCAGCCCCTCCCAGTGTCTAGCCCGCCCCTGTGCACCAGCCCCTCCCAGTGTCTAGCCGCCCGCTGTGCACCAGCCCCTCCCAGTGTCTAGCCCCGCCCCTGTGCACCAGCCCCTCCCAGTGTCTAGCCCCGCCCCCTGTGCACCAGCCCCTCCCAGTGTCTAGCCCCGCCTTCCTCTGTGACCTTCTGGGAAGGTCCAGTCATCATTATGTGAATAATTGATAGCCCCCCCACCCCGACACACCCATCACAGTTACCTCAACTGTAAACTCCTTACTGACTGGACTGTAATAAAGTCAAAGCTGAAATACATTTGTATAAAATCACAGATACAGGATATAGTGAGGATGTTGGGATAGTTCGCCCCCACAAAGCGGGAGGTTAGGATTTAACCACATTGCTCGTTTCAGTGTCTGAGGCTCCTCATTGAATCTGATGTTTGGAAACAAATCTGTTCCTCTTGAAAGCTCTCTCTTCGAGTGCGAGCAAACCTATCGCGCTGGGTTGTCCGCATTTATCTTTCAACGTCCACTCCGCACCAGCCCCAGGAGGTTGCCCAGGTAACCGAGGCTGAGGTTCAGGTGGGCAGGAGTTACTGTGGCAGGAATGCCTGTGCTCCAGTCTGGCTGTTGTGGGATCTGACAGGTGCTGAGGTGGCTCTGGCTGTCAGGGGAGCCGGAGTCTCAGATACTCCAAGGTGTCGTTGCTGGTTGACCATCAAGTCTAGATCATCGACGACATGTGAAGGCAAGACATTCTGCATCCTGTGTCCCGAAGCCTGATAGCCTGAGCTGGGCAGGTGGCGGGAATCTAAACAGGGCTCGGCTACTGGATTGTGCAGTGATTGTGTCGGGTTGTGGTACGATTGTGATGATCCTTTTTTGAGGAACAAACGCACAGCTATTTCCATGACTTTTTTAGTTTTGTTTTGAACGAGATCAGAGCTGGAACCTGGTCAGTCATGGTGCTGCCGAAGGCCAGAGGAAGGAAAGAGGATAAACAATGGCTCGTCTTCTGCTGTAGGATTCTCAGACTCGGCTTCAATGAGATACAATAGGACAGATCCCAGCGGTGTAATAATCACCATTCACTGTCCAGGTCAAACATTGTTAGTGACTATCACATGTAGGACTCTATGCATAAGCTTCAATAAACATGAACTAAAGCACAGGTGGCTTCAGAAAATCATTCACAATCAGTTTATTTTACTTTTTTTCCTTGTGATTTGCAGAAACCAATGTGAGTCTCGGGAGCTGGTATTTTTCTCCTGCTTTATCCTCCTCAGCCAGCGACATCCCAAATGGAATGAATTGTCTGATTGTCGGGGTGATTACACCCTGAGCCAACAGAAAAGTGGGGTTGCTCTTTTTCCGCGGAATCCACCACAAACGCACTATAGATGGTGTTTGTGACCCGTGGGCAGCACTGCTAACCTGGTGTCACTGTGAGTGGAGCAGCTCTGGACACGTATGCCCAGTGCTGCACAAGCGGCAAATGGGTTACACCCGGAGCCACCGCTGTTGTGATTGTCTGTCTCTGTGTGTTTATGACTCTGTGTGAATGTGTCGCTGCGTGTGTGTCTGTGTGAGAATGTATGTCTCTCTCTGTCTCTCTTTAAGTGCGTGTCTCTCTGAGAATGTGTATGTGTCTGTGCGTGTGTCTCTCTCTCTCTGGGTCTCTGTGTGCGGTGTTGGCCCTGAGAGGCAGGAGGTGGCTCCGCAGAGTATCATGACCCACCCTAACCCCCCCAAAAAAGGTCACCTCGCCTCAGAGAGTCATATGCAGAATATACTATAAGTGAATTGACTGTATATTTGTTGGCAAAACCCGGCAGCCAATCGTGCACAAACACATGGATCGAGTGACCAATTTATTATTGTTTTTTGAAGGAATTATTACCCCCCGAAGTGATCTGCCAATCGACTAACAACCCAGTTCCTGTGAGGCAAGTGCTCTGACCATTATGCTACAGGACTCCACAATCCATGACTGTTTGTGGGACGCTGCTGTACACAATTGGCTGCCGCATTGCGCCCACAAATATGCAGTCTTCAAATATATGCATTTTACAGTGTTTTCTGTGAAGCGCTTTGAGACGTCTCGAAGACGTGATAAGGCTCTGTATCAAATGCAAGGATTATTATTATTATTATTATCCACCTTTCA